CTGCTCTGGGACCTTGGAAAACCCCTGTCTTCTTCTCAATCATATTTTTCCTAGAAGTACAATAACAGTTACTAATTCCCAGGTGTTGTCAGGATTGAAAAATAATAATGGTAAAAAAGCAAGTTGCCCTGAAAAACTTTTATTCAGAGATGAAGGCAGCTCTTTCTTAAAAATATCTTATTCTCTGAATTTTAGAGAGGGTAAGGAAGGGAGAAGGTGAGAGAAATATTGAAGTACAAAACCATTGTTTGCTTCTGCCACTCCCCTAACTTGGGAACTGGACCAACTCGCAGGCATGTGCCCTAATCAGGAATTGAACATACAACCTTTTGGTTTGCAGGACATTAAACTTTCTGTGCCTCTGAACCCAGAGCAAGGTTGCTTAATATCCCTATTTAAACCTACAGAGTGAATCACTTTTCTGTTACCATAACTACGGTCAATAATCTAAGATTTAAACAAGACTGCCAAGATATGGGGAGTCTAATCACTGTTTTCTTGTCTTTGGCTTCCAGGAGGGCTTTTAGACTCAACAAATACTCACTGATCCTCATACTACCTGGTGCGCCTTCAAGTTCCCCTGCAGCCCAGCAACCTCAGATGAAAGACCACAGAAAGGATTGAAAACTCAGAAGCAAAAACTATTATATTACTAAATGCTTGAATTTACAAAAGCAAAGAAGTGGGTTAATAATTCAGATTATTCTTTAAAGTATATGATATGATAGGTATCTACCACATTGTGTACAGCAAAAAAAAAATCCAAATAGTTTGGATATGTTACCACTATTAAAAGAAATTATTCCATGAAAACACTATTTCACAAATTAACAAAAATAAAAAATATTTGTTATTCAAGGAGTGAAAATGGGTGACACTGTAACATAGCTCTTAGTTGTTTCACTCTCCTATTTTTTTTAAAAGATCTTATTTATTTATTTTAGAGGGGAAGAGAGGGAGAAAGAGTGAGAAACATCAATGTGTGGTCGCCTCTCGTGTGCCCTCCACCAGAGACCTGGCTGCAAACAACACATGTTCCCTGATGGGGTTCGAACCAGTGACCCTTTGGTTCACAGGCTGGTGCTCAATCTACTGAGCCAACCAGCCAGGGCTAACTCTCCCATTTTTTAAAGGAGAGTAGCCCAAAGTGATAAAATAATAGGTAAAGCATAAAAGCATATACTAAAAATAAATCCCCACTACGTACGTTCCAGAAAAATGCTTTTCGTAAATCTTTACAGAAATGCAAGTAGGACAAAAAAGGATAACATATATGAAAAAAGCTAAAATTATAAAAATTAAACAAATAAACATTTTGTTAGAGTGGGGGAATGCAACCATCATACACTATAACCATGAACGTATAAAGGCACAATTAAAGTCATACTTTGTAAGGTACTTCAAAATTTAAACATTAACTATCTGAGACATCTCCACACTGTGAATATATAATTAAACTTGGACATTTTCAGAAAGTTTTTTTTCTTTTTAATATATTTTTATTGATTATGCCATTACAGTTGTCCCATTTCCCCCCTTCATTCCCCTCCACCCTGTACACCCCCTCCCCATCATTTCCCCCCCCCTTTAGTTTATGTCCATGTATCACAAGTTCTTTAGATTCTATATTTCCCATACTACTCTTGCCCTCCCCGCTGTCTATTTTCTACCTACCATCTATACCATTCTCTGTACCTTCTCCACCCCTCTCCTCCTCCTACTCCACTGTTGCTAACCCTCCATGTGATCTTCATTTCTATGTTTCTGCTCATGATCTAGCTGTGCTCCTAGATTGCTTTTGTTTTAGGTGTGGTTGTTAATAACTATGAGTTTGCTATCTTTTCACTATTCATATTTTTATCTTCTTTTTCTTAGATAAGTCCCTTTAACATTTCCTATAATAAGAGCTTGGTGATGATGAACTCCTTGAACTTGACCTTATCTGAGAAGCACTTTATCTGCCCTCTCATTCTAAATGAAAGCTTTGCTGGATAGAGCAATCTTGGATGTAGGTCTTTGGATTTCATGACTTGGAATACTTTTTTCCAGCCCCTTCTTGCCTGTAAGGTCTCTTTTGAGAAATCAGCTGACAGTCTTCTGGGAACTCCTTTGTAGGTGACTGTCCCCTTATCTCTTGCTGCTTCTAGGATTCTCTCCTTCATTTTAATCTTGGCTAATGTAATTATGATGTGCCTTGGTGTGTTTCTTCTTGGGTCCAACTTCTTTGGGACTCTCTGAGCTTCCTGGGTTTCCTGGAAGTCTATTGCCTTTGCCAGATTGGGGAAGTTCTCTATTATTTGTTCAAGTAAGTTGTTCGCCTTCCTCTTCCCCTTCTGGTACCCCTATAATTCAGATGTTGGGACGTTTAAAGATGTCCTGGAGGTTCCTAAGCCTCTCGTTGTTTTTTTTTAAAATTCTTGTGCCTCTCCTCATTTTTTTGAATTCTTGTTTCTTCATTCTTTTCTGTTTGGTTGTTTTTTTCTTCTTTCTGGTCCACTCCCTTGATTTCAGTCCCAGTTTCCTTCCCATCACTATTGGTTTCCTGTGCATTTCCCTTCATTTCACTTAGTTTAGCCTTCAACCGTTCCTCTAATTTGTGACTAAAATCAACCAGTTCTGTGAGCATCCTGATCACCAGTGTTTTGAACTGTGCATCTGATAGGTTGGCTATCTCTTGGTCGCTTAGAAGTATTGGTTCTGGGGCTTTAAGCTGTTCTTTTTGAGCCATAATGTTTTGATCTGTTTGTGCCTGTTAGGGATGAGGGGCAGAGCCTTAGGTGTTCACCAGGGCAGGGTGACCCAGTCACTGGGTTGTGATGCTGTATGTGGGGGTGGGGTCAGAGAAGGGCAATGGTGCTTGTTCCACACTGTCAGATTCCAGTCCCCTCTGCTGCTTCCCACAAGCAAACTGGGCCCCCCTAGTGCTGGCTCCTGGGTGTGCGAGCCTGTGCACCCTCCAGGACCCTGTGGGTCTTTCCAACAAACTCTCTGTGAGCCTGGGAGCTTCTCCTGGCACCTTGACCCCGAAAGTTTTTCCAATTGGTGCTTTTAGGCTTTAATTCTTGGCACTGGGGCCCTAGCCTGAGTGGTCTGTCTCACTGCTCACTCCTTCTCCTGGTTTATCTGAGTATGAAGGTATGACCGCGGTCAGGCAGCCACCTCGCACCTCCACTGGGTCTGCTTGTTGCCACCCCATACATAGGATCTGCCCACACACTTGTGCGCCTGGGTTGGTCTGGCCACCTTTTCCTGTATGACCTGCTCCTCCAGCTGCTGACTTTGCCCCTCTTATTGGTCTGGCTGAATGGTTTGTTGTTGTCGGACTTCTGTACAGTTCACTTTTCTGTGTTTTGGTTGCTCTTTTGTTACTAAAGCTTTGTCTTTAAACTTGGTTGTGTGAGGAGGCACAGTGTTTCCACCTATGCTTCCATCTTGGCCGAAGTCCAGAAAGTTTTTTCAGTATCATTACACTGAAAAAAACAAACACACCCCAACACATTTCCTACAACCTAACATTTTACAAAGTGACAATTCTCTAACATCAAAATAGTAAAGTCTCATGGCTAAAGATTTCTCATGTTTACTTCATGCTTGAAGCCTTTCACCAGGGTGAAATATGATTAACATGCCTATAGAAAGGAGGTGAAAGATTTCCCTCATTTCATGTCACCATAAGGGCTATCTCCTATATAAACTCTCTATTAAGAAAGGAGAAAGAATAAAAAAACATTTTCCTACATTTCCTGTACTCATAAAGCCTTTCGCCAGAGTGAAACTGGGAATATAAGAAAAAATTGTGCTACAAAAAAATTCTCATATTACATGTATATAAAAATTTTTCTGCCCTGGCTGGTGTAGCTCAGTGAACTGAGCAAGGGCCTGTAAAGCAGAGGCTCTCGGGTTTGATTCCCAGTCAGGGCACTTCTCTGGGTTGCGGGCCAGGTCCCCAGTAGGGGACACAGGAGAGGCAGCCACACATTGATGTTTCTCTTTCATTCTTTCTCCTTTCCTTCTCCTCTCTCTAAAAATAAATAAGTAAAATGTTAAAAAATTTTTTTCTCTTGTGTGACTTCTCAGAAGATAACATAGGTAATGGATAGATAATAAAAGATCTCCAAAATTTCCTTAAGTTATAAGAATTTAGACATTGTGAATTCTCTAATGACAATAAAGGGAATGGCTACAGTCAAAATATTTCTAGTATTTGCCTTGGCTAGTGTGGCTCAGTTGATTGAGCACCGGCCTGCAAAAAAAAAAAAAAAAAAAGCCATCAGTTTGATTCCCAGTCAGGGCACATGCCTGGGTTGTGGGCCAGATCCCCAGCAGGTGGTGCATGAAAGGCAGCCACACATTGATGGTTCTCTCCCTGCATTTTCCTCTGCCTAAAAATAAAATGAATAAAATCTTTAAAGAAAATTCTTATATTCACAACACTGAAATGGCATTTTGACAGTATAAACTCTATCACACTAGTGGAGATCAATGATACAAGAAAAACATTTCCCAAATCACTGCAGGCATAAGAACATTCTACAGGGTGACTCTCTGATGACAGCTGAGGAGACTGCTACAGAAAAAGGGTTTCTCACTTTCACCACACTCATAAGACCTTTCTCCAATGTGAAGTCTTTAAGGAAAATGAAGGTTACCAATAAAACAATTCTCACATTCTCTGCAGCCATCAAACTTTCCTCATGTTTGTAGTCTCTGATACAAATGATAGTTCATGCAACAGATAAAAGATTTCCCACATTTGCCACAGTCTTAAGTGTTTCTAGGTGTGAACAGTTTGATGGTAATTGACATGAGTGGTACACGAAAAGGATTTCCCCATTTAGTGCACGCATAAGTACTTTAACCACTGTGAACACTTTGATGAAATTGGAGGGCAGAGCTCCAGGTACAAGATTTCCCATGTTCACTGCACTCATATGGTCTTTCTCAGTTGTGTACTTTCTGATGATAATGGAGAGAAGAGCAAGTGGTATAAGATTTCTCACATTTACTACACTTGTAAGGCCTTTCCCCAGTGTGAACTCTGTGATGTTTACGAAGGTCAGATCTGTGGGTAAAAGATTTACCACATTCATTACACTTATGAGGCTTTTCTCCAGTGTGAATTTTCTGATGACGATGGAGGGTAAAGTTTTGGGAAAAAGATTTCCCACACTGACCACACACATAAGGCCTTTCTCCAGTATGAATTCTCTGATGATACCGGAGGCTACAGCTACGGGTAAAAGATTTCCCACATTCACCACACTTATAAGGCTTTTCTCCAGTGTGGACTTTGTGATGACGATGGAGGGAACAACTACTGTTGAAAGATTTCCCACATTCAGCACACACATAAGGCCTTTCTCCAGTGTGAACTCTCTGATGAAAAAGGAGGACAGGTTTACTGGTGAAAGATTTTCCACATTCACCACACTTAAAAGGCCTTTCTCCAGTATGAACTCTCTGGTGAGAATTAAAGACACTTTTTTGCCTAAAAGACTTCCCACATTTAGTGCACACAAATGGCCTTTCTGCAGAGTGAACTTTCTCATGTTTACGGAGGTCAGAGCTGCGAATATAAGATTTCCCACAGGTACTGCACTTGTAAGGCCTTTCTCCTGTGTGAACTCTCTGATGAACACGGAGGGCAGAAATTCTGGAAAAAGACTTTCCACATTCACAACACAAAAAACACTGTCTTCTAGTTAGGGAACTACGGTCTTCGACAAGTCTGTCCTCACAGCTGCTGACTTTCTTGTGTTGTCTTGCAGTGTAATCGCTTGGAGTTTGAAAAGCCATTCCAGACATAAAGATTTCATTTCCCCTGTTCATGGTGTAAGCAGCCAATTGTTCAAGATGTCTGGAGGTGATGAGGAAGCGATTTGCAACCTGACTGGACGTACAAGGCTCCCACGACACATCGGAATTGCAGCTGTTTTCAAGGGAGACCTTGTCCACACTGCTTATGAAACCATTCCGTGTTGTGCCCTGCTGGTGACTCTGTGCACTGAAATAAAATGGTTTTGCACATGCCCCACACCTCAGCAGAGTTGGGACTTGTTGGGTTCCTTGCTGGTTAAGCAAGAGGAAAATGTCTCTCAAGACACTCCCACAACTCTCACATGGGTGGCTTTTCTGGGAAGACAGAGATGACTTCAGATTCACAGCCTTTGAGACTCTTACAGTAATATTCTGTTCAGTGGGTGCCTCCACATGCTCTGCTTCACAGCAGCAACCTAAAGAAAAACAAACACTGGTAAAGTACATACTGACCTATGGGGAGCGTGTTTTCTCCTCACTAATTTAGCTCTGTAACATCTGGCATAATTCTATGGGATGATTTCCAAGACAAAGAAGAGTCTCTAAAAAAGCCTCTCAGGGCTATAATAATGGGCAACTCATGAATTTAAGGAGAGCAGAACACAGCAAAACACAAAGAGAGGCCGGCTTTGCAATATATTCCTTTCTTAGGGGCTGCCTGCGAAACCATTCCTGCTTATGTTGTAGGGCTGTATAGAGGATATGAATGTGCTTCAAACCATGAAAATCAACCACAGAGGAGCCGATGTGGTGCTATACAAATATGTGCAGGCTTTGAGGTGCAACATGATTGATTATAATGGTAGAGCACACCAAAAAGACTCCTCAGAGAAAGGGTTGTGGTGTACAGGTTAAATATGCAGAGATCACTCATGGCTGGAAATCAAGAGTGCAATGGACAATTACTAAAAGTAACAAACTGGCAAGTTCTCAACACTGGGAAAGGACAAGTTGATTAATGTATGGCCACTTGCAATGGTGACAAAATATAGTTAAACAGAACAGGTTCCTCATTAGGTTTTTTTTTTTAATTTTATTTAGTTATTTTTCAAGTACAGTTTTTTGTCTATTTTTCCCATCCCAGCCTCCCCCGCCCCTTGCTCCCCACTTCCCTCCCATTTCCACCCCTCATTAGGTTTTATCCAAGCCTTGAAATCAAATTTCCCCAAATGCCATTCACCAATGCCAGACACTCTGTGAGCCCATCTTATCACAGCTGGATGCCTGTCCCTCTTGTGATACACAAAGGACTGTTCTCTTCCCTCCCCTTAAAGGAATTACATGGAATACTAATGATTCAACTCCAAAGAGAAAGCAGAAGAGATGACTGAGCAACAAAGTCATAAATCAATTCTGCACCCAAACTCCAAAGAACAACATCTACATGAGTGAAAATGGCAAGATGGCAGAATAAAAAATATCAGTATTTGGCCCTGGCTGGCATGGCTCAGTGGATTGAATGCAGGCCTGTGAACCAAAGGGTCACCAGTTTGAATTCCAGTCAAGGCACATGGGCCAGGGTTGAGGGCCAGATCCCCAGTTGGGGGTGCGTGAGAGGCAACCACACATTGATGTTTCTCTCCCTCTCTATTTCCTTCCCTTCTCTCTCTAAAAATAAATAAATAAAATATTTAAAAACCCCCACAGTATTCAACCCCCTTCAAGAATAATTAGATAATTATCCACAATAAACAGCCTCCCTTTACGGTAAATAAACAGACCAGTTATTTCAAAGAACTACAAGGTAGAGCATAATGGAAAGTGCCACATATAAGGATAGCAGAAAAAACTGGCTCAAGAAGCAGGGTTAGATTAAAACACAAGGGTAAGAACTGGGAAACACTGAGCTTGTGCTACCCTTGACTCTAGTGGCTTACTTCGTGCCACCAAAGCCTCCAAGAGATGACTAAATATTTGGAAAACCAAGCCCTGGCCAGTGAACACCCCTTCAATCTTCACAACCCTGATCTTGGTCATGGGGAAGCAAAAATGATAGCAAATGCAGCTTCTCCTCAGCCCAAAACATACCACACCACCAAGGAAACACTCTTTTTTTTTTAAGTTATTTTTTTAGAGAGGGGAAGAAGAGAAGAGAGAAAGACAGAGAGAGAAACACAGTCAGGGCTAGGAAGCACTCTTGTAAGCATATGCAGATAAAACTATTCCTCTAAACAGAACTGGTTCATGAAATCCAAAAAACAAAAAAAAACAAGAAGCTGCTTCATCAAATATCAAACATTGATACTAAGACAAAGGGAGATATTTTAAAAAGTGACAAAGGGAACATCACAATGTTAAAGAATTAAGTTAAAAGACGGAGCAATATAAATTGCCAAAAAAAGAATACAAATAATCATTTCTAAAAACTCCAGTAAAGGTACAAGCAAATACATAAGGAACTTGACATAATGAGAAAATGTGGGAACAGAACACGGGGATCACAGAACAGAAATAAAAAAATAGAAACAGAAATTGAAAATTGAAGAATATAATAAATAAAATGAAAAATGCAAAAGAGTTTCAAAGCTGACACAACGAAGGACTAAAATGAATATATCACCTCAGATGCAGGTGATTTAAAATTCTACATGTGAAAAATATTGTGAGGAGAGCCCTGGTGAATTTTGGAATGCCATAGAGATAACTTGTATTTGCATCATAGGAGTCCCAGAAAAGGGGGGAAAAGAGAAAATAACACATAGATAAACAGGAGGGGAAGGCAAAGCATAAAAAATTTATTTCAAAAAATGAGTTAAAGATTGACTTCAAAATATGAAAAAGAAATGTGAATGGCCATGTTTAACATCCTGCCTGGTCCCTGTATGTATTCAATGGAAACAGGATTTCAGCAGGACATTTTATAATAAAAGGGTCAAATATCGAAACCAAAAAAAAGTTTCAAAGACCAAAGACAATAGAAACACTTCATGTAAGGACAACATTCCCACAAGGCCAGTAATAAATTTCTCTGAAGAAACCTTGCAGCCTTGGAAAATATCAAATGATATATTCAAAACACTACAAAAAACATCTGTAAAACACAATACTTTATCCCAAAAGCCTCATCTTCAGAAGTCACAAGAAAAAAACTTTCCTGGAAACACAAAAGGTGAAGAAGTTAATTTCCACTCATCCTGACTTACCAGAAATGCCAAAAAGGAAAAAAAAAAAAAAAAGATCCCTGAGCTGATATAAAGACATAGTACATAGAAACAGGAAACTCGGGACCCTTCCGCAGTGCCGGGCCTCAGGAGCCATTCAGGCCCAGCAAGGCACTTCTGGCCAAGATGGAGGCATAGGTAGACACACTATGCCTTCTTGCACAACCAAAAGAAGGACAACAAGACATTTAAAAACAAAAAACAACCAGAACTGACAGAAAATTGAACTGTATGGAAGTCCGACAACCAAGGAATTAAAGAAGAAACATTTAGCCAGACTGGTAGGAGGAGCAGAGAGGACTCACAGCAAGGCAGCTGCTGGCAGAGCGGGTGGTCCTACATTCGAGAGCAAATAAACCAGGAAGAACAACTGGGGAGCAAGAAAGACCACGCAACCCAGGGTTCCAGTCCTGGGAAATAAAGCCTCAAACCTCTGACTGAAAATACCAATGGGGGTTGAGGTAGCAGCAGGAGAAACTCCCAGCCTCAGAGGAGAGTTCACTGGAGAGACTAACAGGGTCCAAGAACATACACAAACCCACCCACCCAGGAATCAGCACCAGAAGGGCCCAATTTGATTGTGGGTAACGGGTTAGTGAACAAAAGCTGGTGCAGGGTGGAGCAAGCAGCACTGTTCCCTGGACTGGTTCCCCCACATAAAGCAACACAACGCAGCTATGTGGGTTACCCCGCCCTGGTGAACACCTAAGGATTCGCACCTTACTATGTAACAGGCATGCTGAGACCAAAAAAAAAAAAAAAAGGCCCAAATGAAAGAACAGATCAAAGCTTCAAAAAAATACAACTAAGTGACTAAGAGATAGCCAATCTACCAGATGCACAGTTCAAAACATTGGTAATCAGGATGCTCACAGAATTGGTTGAATATAGTTGCAAATTAGATGAAAAAATGAAGCCTATGCTAAGTGAAATAAGGGAAAATGTACAGGGAACCAACAGTGATGGGAAGGAAACCGGGACTCAATTCAATGGTGTGGACCAGAAGGAAGAAAGAAACATTCAACCAGACAGAATGAAGAAACAAGAATTCAAAAAAATGAGAAGCTTAGGAACCTCCAGGACATCTTTACACTGTCCAACATTCAAATTATAGCCAGAAGGAGATGCCAGAAGGAGGAGGGGAAGATCAAGAAATTTACAACTTATCTGAACAAATAATGAAGGAAAACTTCTCCAATCTGGCAAAGGAAATAGACTTCCTTTGGTCCAGGAAGTCCAGGAAGCTCAGAGAGTCCCAAAGAAGTTGGACCCAAGGAAGAACACACAAAGGCACACCATAATTACATTACCCAAGATGAAAGAGAATGAGAGAATCTTAAAAGCAGCAAGAGATAAGGGGACAGTTACCTACAAAGGAATTCCTATAAGATTGTCAACTGATTTATCAAAAGAAACCTTGCAGGCAAGAAGGGGCTGGAAAGAAGTATTCCAAGTCATGAAATCCAAAGACCTACAACCAAGATTGCTCTATGCAGCAAAGCTTTCATTTAGAATGGAAGGACAGATAAAGTACTTTCCAGATAAGGTCAAATTAAAGGAGTTCACCATCACCAAGCCCTTATTATATGAAATGTTAAAGGGACTTATCTAAGAAAAAGAAGGTCAAAACAATCAACAGTAATATGACAACAAACTCAAAGCTATTAACAACTGAACCTAAAACAAAAACAAAACCAAACTAAGCAAACAACTAGAACAGGAATAGAATCACAGAAATAGAGATCACATGGAGGATTATCTGTGGGGGAGTGGGTGGGGAGAGAGGGGGAAAAGGTACAGAGAATAAGTAGCATAAATGGTTGGTAGAAGATAGACAGGGGAAGGTTAAGAATAGTATAGGAAATGCAGAAGCCAAAGAATTATATATATGACCCATGGACATGAACTAAAGAGGGGAATGCAGGTGGGAGGATGTACGCAGGGCTGAGGGGAATAAAGGGGGAAAAATGTGATAACTGTAGTAGCATAATCAATAAAACATATTTTAAAAAAGAAACAGGAAACTGTGGAAAGTGTAAAACTCTGGTAAGGTCAGGATGTAAGATTTATAATATTAAGACAGTTCACTGGTGGATGTACTTTATTTAACTCTATTGTAAAGGACAAAAATAAAGTGTATTGAAAATAACAATGGTGACAATATGTCATCATTGTCAATATATGTCAGCATATGTCAATAGGTACACAATACAGAAAGATGTGAAGTGTGACATACAATGTCACATTGTATGTGGAAGAGAATGACAGGATAGAATTTTTACATGCGGTGAAGCTGTTTTCAGATCACAACAAACTGTCAAGAGCATGAGTTTTATGTAAGTCTAATAAAAACAAACCATAAGCACAATACTGTGTAATGGGTACACAAAAGAGAAGGGAATAAACTAACACACACACACACAAGACAGCAAAATAGAAAGGCAGTAAAGGAACTAAAAAAAAAACCCAGAAAACATGACAAGTTGGCAACAGTAGGTTCTTCAAGATATTCTCCAGTCAAAGACATAGAGTGCAAGAAGGGACAAAAAACATAAGATCCAGAGGAATCTGAGACCTTGTTTCCTCAAAACAAACAAAATAAGTTTGTTTGGAGGAAAAACGTATAAAAACTCAGTCCTGGCTGGTGTGGCTCAGTGGATTGAGCGCAGACTGTAAAACAAAATGTCACAGGTATGATTTCCAGTCAGGCACACGCTCGGGTTGTGGGTGTGTTCCCAACTGGGGGGCAAGTGAGAGGCAACCACACATTAGTATTTCTTTCTCTCTCTTCCTCCCTCCCTTCTCTTTTCTCAAAAGAAAAATAAATAAATAATCTTTAAAAAACAATTCTCATGATGGGTGGATAAGGTGAAGAAATTAAAAAGTACAAATGGGCAGTTACACAAAACTCATGGGGAGGTAAAAAGGACAGCCTAGGAAATATAGTCAATAACATTCTACTAATTATATATGATGTCAGATGGGTGGGAGATTTATGGAGATGATCACTTAGTAAGTTACACAATGTCTAATCATGAAACGAATATAATGATGTATGTCAATGTATTTAAAAATGAAAAAATGATAGAAATTCAATTCTCAATTGAGGCCCAGGCCTGCGTAGCGGGCCGGCTCCTCAGCAGGGAGCGTGCAAGAGGAAACCAAAATTAATGTTTGTCTCTCTCTTCCTCCTTCCCTTTCCTTCTCTCTAAAAATAAAGAAATAAAATCGTTCAATATTTCATGCAAATAATACCAAGAGAGCAGAAGGATAACCATTTAATTGCTGTGTACCCAACTACGGAGCACCTAAGTACATAAGCAAACATATGGGATCTGAAAGTGGAAAATGCAACACAAGACTACTAGACAACTTGGATATTCCCCTTCCAAGATGAGTAAATCATTTCGAAAACAAAAGGAATTATTGAAATTTAAAAACACTACTGACAAAACAGAACTAATAAATATATACATAGTATGTTATCCAGCTCTGGCCAAGTGGCTCAGTTAGTTAGAGCACTGTCCCATGTACCACAAGGTTGCAGGTTTGATTCCTAGTCACAGTACAAATGTAGGTTGAGGGGACAATCGCATGTTAAAAGCATGTATAGGCAGAAACTGATTGATGCTTCTATTTCACACTGATATTTCTCCTTTTCCCTCCCTTCTTTCTCTAACAGTCAATAAAAATATTTTGCAGTGAGGATAAAAAATATATATAGTTGTAGAAATGTTCGAGAATATAAAAAATACTTTTTCTCACTATACAATGTGCAATCTATTCGGCTTCTCACAATACTGCTGAGGTCAAATCCTTCCCTGTGATGGTTCAATACAGCAGGCATGGGGGCGGCAGGGAGAGCAGGGGGCGGTGCAAGCAAACCGGCCCTGCCAAGTCCAGGATCGACCAGAACCCTGGGGAAGTGAACAGTGCCCGCAGTCCACATGGGAGGACGGAGCAACCCCTGAGGAAATGAAGGGCAAAGGGCACATGCAAAGGTCAGACTAGGTCTCTGGTAAGAGAGAGGGTCTTTTTTTTTGAAACTGTGAGTTAGTTCATTAAAATTGAGGGCACTGAAACAAACAAACAAAAAGACACCCCTATAGACATGCTCAAGGGTAAGCCCCAGAGCAACTGCTGGAGTCCATTTTCCCTGGGTCCAAGTCAAGTCAGGACCCTTGGAGCTTAGGATAGAAGCAGCAGACTGCAACCCTAAGGAAAGGGGGGTACAGGCAAGGCAAAAAGAGTGCTCAGTCAGAGTTGGTGTCTTACCCAGAGATGATATAAGAGCATAGTTTTCCATCATGACGTCGAAGTACAGGCGTCTCTGAGCCTCATCAAGGAGAAGCCATTCTGCCCTGGAGAAATTCACAGCAACATCCCCAAAGGTCACGACCTGTCAGATTAATACAAATGAATGTGAAACAGTCTGTCTGAGACCCTGTATCCTGCTCTTCCCCACACCCAACATCTCACAGACCAGTCCTTCAGAGAAACAGCAGAACTTGGTGCTAGAGCTCCCTGCTGTCTCATCACAGTCTCATTCATCACTCACATCATCCTCAGCAAAGACAGGCAGGATAAGAGGAAGTGGGGCAGATAAATGTCATCTAAACTCAGGGTCCTGCCCGCAGGGCCCCTTTCTACCTGCTAAACAATTCCACTGAGTCTCTCAAATCATGCCTCCAGAACACAAACATATATGGGCTCAGGCTTCATGTGTAAATCCAAAGGCCAAGAACCTAGGGTCATCAGCTCATACTTCCTCCAGCTGTGCATACACTGTGTGATCTTGACCTGCTTCACAGCTTTACACCCAGTTTTGCTTCCTGAGCTCTGCCCCCTTCACCCTCCTGTGTAAAAGAGCTACTACTTTTGCATGACTCCATCCTCCACCCTTCCACAGGTTTCAGACCTATCTGTTAGCTGCTCACAAGATGTTTCCACATGGTCTTTGTAACTGATAAAAGTGTGAAAAAGAAACTTCTGATATTCCCAAAGGGAATTAACCTACCTCCGTCATCTCCAGCCCAGTTGATGGAACCTCTAGTGCTTTAGCTGCTAGGACCAAAAACAATGGGGTGGTTTTGAAACCTTTTCTTCTTCCTACAACTGCAAAATCTGAAACTATACTTGCCCTTCTTAAAAAATATAAAGTGGAAGGGGGTGGATGGAGGTGGAAGAAGGTTCGAGGAAGATATGAGGAATGGCAAAAAAATTCAATAAAACAATAAAAGATGGACCAAGAATCCAATCTTTTCTCCTATCTGAGGCCCAACTTAGTGCCATCCCCTATCCTATGAATCAGAAAAGTCCCAGGATCCAGAGCTTCCGGCCTCTTCCACAAACCCCCATAACCTGTTTCCCACTAGGCAGCTAGACGGAGCCCGTTACACCCACCAGAAGAGACCAACTGCTTTCTTTTATGCAAACATCCCATTATCTCCCTAACAGATGCCCAAATAATCATTTGGCTACTTTACAAGTCTGATTCTCCACCCCCTTGCACCTTGCTTTTAACACAAAGGAGACTTCCACAATAAACAGCCTCCCTTTATGGTAAATAAACAGACCAGTTATTTCAAAGAACTACAAGGTAGAGCATAATGGAAAGTGCCACATATAAGGATAGCAGAAAAAACTGGCTCAAGAAGCAGGGTTAGATTAAAACACAAGGGTAAGAACTGGGAAACACTGAGCTTGTGCTACCATTGACTCTAGTGGCTTACTTCGTGCCACCAAAGCCTCCAAGAGATGACTAAATATTTGGAAAACCAAGCCCTGGCCAGTGAACACCCCTTCAATCTTCACAACGCTGACCTTGGTCATGGGGAAGCAAAAATGATAGCAAATGGCATCAGCAAGCATTTGCAGGTACAGGGTCCCCTTCCCAGGTGACCAGCCACCAATGCATACACTGGCTAGCTTTGTGGACCAAAAAAAAGAAAAAAAGGAAAGAGAGCATATGCTAAACCTGACCAGTTTGCAGGGCGTGGGTGGGTTCTTCTGAGATGGCATTAGGCACAGAAAGGCTGAAAAGACCCCTCCGTATGTGTGGCCTGAAATTAAAACTTTCTAACCAAAAGACAGTCATGTCAAGTAGTCGCGTCCTGGGTCTGTACCTTCCCTGAGGAAAGACAATTTTTTCAAAGATTTTATTGATTTATTTTTAGAGAGAGGGAAAGGAGAGAGAAAGAGAGGGAGAAGAATTCACATCAATGGGTGGTAGCCACTTGTGTGCCCCCCAACTGGGGGCAGGGCCCACAACAGGCATGTGGCCTGACTGGGAATTGAACCATAGACGCTTTGGTTCACAGCTAGCACTCAACCCACTAAGCCACATCAGCCAGGGCAGGAAAGTTGATTTTTATCTTACTTGAGCCCATCTTTGTATTTAGCAAAGATGTGTTAACACACCTTTGGAATGTCAGGTTAATTTCCTTTTTTCTCAGGGTATAAACATACATGAGGGCAGAGACCAAGAAAGTACTCCATGTTATTATTATGTTCATTCATTAAATATTAATGATGTTATAGCCAGTAATATAAAAAATTGTGTGTCCATTCCTCTTTAATTTTTATTTAAATTAAATTATTTATTTAATTTCCTGCTTTGTTTTCTCCCACCTCCATGACCCATCACCAGTGGAGTTCAAGTTCCCAACCTATACATCTTCCTTTTTGATTCTGATGTATAAAATAAATGGTAAAAAAAAATAAATAAATTAAGTAAGTGGTAAAACTGCCATTTCCGGAGTATTTTTCACTCTCCGTAGAGATTTTGTGTCCTGAAATCGTCCTCACTTCAGCACAAATAAACCTTTTTAAGTCTCTACAGTTTAAATATTTCTTACATTGACACCAGAAATGGGACCACCTTAATATTACCTGAGACCTGAACTCAGGATTGGAGTATCACCCGGGTCTTCGAAGTTAAAGTTGGAAAATTACCAAGGGAAAAGTCTTTATACACTATACAGTAATGTTATCACCAGGTAGGAATGGGAAGAATCCTGTCCTTCTTTGTCTAGTTTGATAATGATTTTCAACGTCAGAACCTGTGGGAAAAAGCAATCAACCATCCTCAGCTCCCGGTAAGCAGATTTTAGCTGTATCCACCCAGCTCTGAGTAAGGTGACCTCCGGCCAAATGTCTCCTCAGTGCGACCTCTTACCAGCTCCATGACCTTTAACTAGGGCCCTTCTTCCTGTGCCTCAAGTGTCTTCATCATCCAACTTCAGTGGGTTTTCGATCTCAGAAGGGTCTGAAAGGCTTTCAAAACCATGATACAACCCATATCTCTATTGGTTCACGACCATCCGGAGCTCCCGGGACCCTCAGAAAGAAGGTGCAACCTCTCCACCTCAGATCGTTTAAAGCAGAGGTAAGGCTGAGGCCATGTGTGCGGGCCATTCGGGGTCAAGGACACCTACACGTGTTTAGAAAGGGGGCATCTCGGCTGAGCTGATCACCCACACAAACCGGTAATACTGTGTGTTACCCACGAGCACCTAAGATTCCAGGGGCCAGGGCCGGAGCGACAAGACCTGCCAGGCGTCCCGCACCCGGGCTTGGTGGGCTGAAGGTGGAGGAGGGCCCAGAGAAGCGCACTCACCTCAGCCGGGCGCTTCAGCTTGGTCGCAGCCATCGGACTCTGTTGCCCGAGGGTGTTCGGGAGCCGCGGGCGAGGAGGGTGTCCCAGGTATTGGGGTTACTGTCCCAGCCCTGACGCCGGATACCCGGGCAGCGAACGTGGCCTCACAGCTTCCGTGGAGAACAGCACTCTGGCGTCTTCTCCAGCTGATCTTGTGACTATAAGAGCCTCACCCAGCAATGTGGAAACTGAGAAGAGGAAATACCTGCCCCGAGATCAAAGGAAGTCCCGCCCCAGAGTATGGCCCGCAGGGAAATAACCTTTTCTGAGTATTGACTCAGCTTTGTGATATTCCACGCCTACCGTCTAGGTTGTACAGTCCAAGTCTGGGGTCCTGGATTTCCCCATCTGACTCCAGGAGTGGATTTGATGGTTTAGACCTCAACGATACCATGAGAAAACGTAATCTGCGCTATAGCCGCCCAGGTGGACCTTATTTCTTGGGCAAGTTAGTGTCTGGTATGCCTGCCGGACCTTTTGATTCAGGCCGTGGGGCACATGCCTTCCTCAGGCCAGATGTGGTTGGCGGATGTTGCTCTGTAGCAGTAGGGCGCACAATGCGAATTAAATATAAATAATACACTAATACTTAAGTGCATCTGTGCCTAATGGAGCCAGAAGTCTTAGCTCTGCCTGGGCCACATTGTGACTGGATTCCTCAGTGATGTGATTGGATGCCTCTAATTTCCTATTTTTTTACCACACAGTGGAGTATATGTTGACATCAAGACGTGCAATTAGATGAATTTAGCCCAGAAAGTGCACGTAAGTTTCCAGACCAACCAAATGAATATGCTAATAAGAATAGTTACATCAATGTCTTTGTTCTGAAGTACACATTGTTGTCTATTAAATGTGCAATACCAGTAGGTGAAAAATAACCCAAAGTTGTTTTATGGGCTGCTTCTTTGGGCACTGTGGACCCTGTCCCACCTTCCAGGCCTTGGGAAGAATATACAGTTTCAAAGGCATTATCTTTCCCAGATAGTAGAAATGATGCATTTATATACCTTAATTCATTTTTTAAAAGATTCTATTAATTTATTTTTAGAGAGAGAAGCAGGAAGGGAGAAAGAGAAGGAGAAAAACAACATTGTGTGGTTGCCTCTTTCATGGCCCCTACTGGGGATCTGGCTGGCAACCAGGCCAGTGCACTAACTGGGAATTGATCCTGAGACCCTGTGGTTCCCAGGCCAGCACTAAATTCACTGAGCCATACCAAGCAGAGTAACATACTTTAATTTGAAAATATTTTATTGTGTCCCGGCTGGTGTGGATCAATGAATTGAGTGGTAGCCTCCAAACCAAAGGGTCGGTCACCAGTTTGATTTGTGGTCAGGGCATATGTGTGAGTTGTGGCAGGGTCCCCAACTGGTGACGTGCAAGAGGCAACTGATTAATGTATCTTGCACACTGATGTTTCTTTAAATATTCTAAAAATATTTTATTGTTCAAATAGTATAAACCATTATCTGAGCCTTCATTGAGTTACATATGATCTTTTGTTGGTGGAGGATCTTGCCTTACTATTGATGAAAATGAGTATTCTCTGAAGCTCAATAAAGCACATTGCAATAAAGATGGTGTCCCCATGTTAGTGAATCTGGGAAATAGACTAATAACCTTGTTATCCCATCATGCATATGACATAAATGTCACAGGCATATAGGACAAACCTTTGAAAATTAAAAAAGATGAATAATATAAACATAAATAAATAGGTGTCTACTTGTAATTTCAATATCTATTAAAATAAATTAGTTGTTGGAGAACTAGAGAATTAAGTTCTGACAAATTTCTTGGTATTTTTGTTAGTAGGGAAGTGGTATTGTAATTATCATAATGAAAGAGATGGTGAGTTACATAATTAATGATTTATAGGTGAGATGATGATTAGTATGTCATTGTCAATTCAGTAAGATTAGGAATATATTGAAGAATTATATTTAGAGTAAATAAAAAACACATATCTATAATGAAAGATGACCTATATTTAGCTGAGAATTTTTTTACGTTATCTGAAATATTATAATGAACAAGGTAGTATGGGCCCTAGCCAGGTAGTTCATTTGGTTAGAAGGTAGACCCTAACACCAAGGTTCTAGCTTTGATCCCAGATTAGGGCGTGTATAAGAATTAACCAATGAATGCATAAATAAGTGGAGCAAATCTGCATCTCTATTCCTTTCTCTCTCTCTTTTTAAAAATAAATAAAAAATTTTAATACTATATGTATGCCTACATGCCGCGGTCCAGCCGCAGCGGGTCAGGGGGTCCCACAGGTGAGGGCAAGGCGTCGGCGCTGGGTAACAGACGACAACACGCCTCAAAGGACAGTGAAGCTCTGTTCCGTTTATTGCAAGTACAAGCAGGTTTTTATATTTTCATTTCAGGTAGTGATTAATATTTGCAGTATAACATGATCATTTAAGCAGAAAAAATCAATACAAAGGTAATCAGTAAAAGTACAAAAGTTCCCATAGATTTAGTTAAAAATTATTTTAACTAGGAGAGCCATTAATCAGACAGTTAAAAATATCTTATTGTATATTAAAGTTTCTCAGAATTTGGTATAGGGCATAAGGATACGCTAGACTGAGTAGAGAAAATAGGAGATTTATTATAAGGCCCTTGTGATGTCTAACTTAGCTATCTACCTTTTTTTTTGCTTAAAATGTTTTTCTGTGTACTATAAATTCTGACTCCCTAGTGACTGTTTAGTTTGTAGTAACTAACTAGCTTTTGTTATTTCTTTGCCTGTCTAGTTGATATATATTCTTATTCAAGGTAAAGGAGGGGGCTATTCCTATGTTGCAGGGAGCTTTCAAGGGTACTTCTTTTAAGTTTCTCTAGGAGTTCTTTTATAGACATGTTTTGTACTTTGATTCCTTCTAAGAAAGTAGTGAGATCATCTCATGATTTCCTAGAGTATTCTATCTTATCTTGGGTGTTTTTCCAATGATCTGTTATTGATTAAGCTTGAATTCTCAGATTGTTCTGATTGTTTCCTTGTGCCTATATTCCCTGACGTTCTAGTATGATATTATTATTCTGTTCATTGAGCCGGGAAAGGTCCAGGCACACTATCTGAATCACTGCCAGGGTATTCATAATGATTAAAGCAAAAAGGGTCATGATCCCCAAAGCAAGCACAATCACAATAGGTATTGCAAGGCCTTCCATGCCACGTCCACCAGGTTGGAAACTGCTTCCTTGAAGTCTTACACCCCCTCTCAGGACCTTGTCACGGAGAGAGGGATCCAACAGTGGACGTGGCAGTGGATGTGGCAGTGGATGAGGCACCTACATGCAATAAAAATTTAAAAATCAATAGATACTTTGTAGGAGGTCTTTTCTGATTTAAATATTTAAAGTACTTCTTTTGCTTCTTTTTGGAAAAGATTTTATTTATTTATTTTTAGACAGAGGGGAAGGGAGGGAGAAAGAGGAGAGAAACATCAATGTATGGTTACTTCTGGCATGACCCAACTGGGGACTTGGCCCACAACCCTGGCATGTGCCCTGACCAGCAATCAAACCAGCTACCCTTTGGTTCACAGGCCAGCACTCAATCCACTGAGCTAGGGCCCAAAGTTGTTTTATGGGCTGCTTCTTTGGGCACTGTGGGTCCTGTCCCACCTTCCAGGCCTTGGGAAGAATATACAGTTTCAAAGGCATTATCTTTCCCAGATAGTAGAAATGATGCATTAAATTTCAAGGACTTCCCTCCTCCTGTGTTAACATAGTGCTTCTTGTGATGTTGGAACACCTGGCAGTATTATTAGACCAGGCTCAGGACTACTGAGTTAGCATGTGAGACATGTCTCCCTCCTCCTCTCCACCTTGGATTGCTATTCATTCTACCTAAGTGCTAAAAGGTTTTTCCTGGCAACCAGGATGCTAGACACTGGCTAGTAACAGCAGCCACGTCTCAGGATTCTTCCTCTGTTGTCTCCTGCCTAATTTCCCCTTTAGAGACATGGTTATAAATATTCATTTTGAGGTTACTGAGGGGTGAATGTCTATCTTCTGTAGCTGCTTCAGGCTTGGATGGGACAGTAGTCCCTGCCTATTGAGAACTACGAAACTCGCCCTTTTCTATCTTTTCTGAGAGTGTCAGAGATGCTCTATGTCAGTCAGAGGAAGTTGAGGGAAGTATCCTTTCATCAGGCCACAACAGTTGCCCAGAGTCTCCAGTCCCTGAGGTTGATAGTTGTTCATGACAATTATTTGTAGCTATAGAGCCTCTACTCCAGAAGAGATAAATGTAGTTAGTAAGTTGATTATCATGGGTCAAAATAATAGTGTCACTAGCATGATTAATACTGGTGTTGCAAAAAGCAGAAGGGAAACATGAGCCATGAGTTTGAACTCCAAAAAGAGGTTGAACTCTTGATTCTAGATGGAGAATCAAGGATGCTTTGGATGTTTTGCTGGACTTGCTCCTTTGCTGGACTTGCTATTAATGTAGAAGCAACACTCTTCCTTGAAGTGCAAACATGTTTGCACTTGCTGAGGCTGGGAGGAGGTCTAATGTCCTTTGATTTTAGAAGGCAACTCCAGCTAATGAGTCCAGTTGTTCTTGGAGTGCTGCAAGTGTTTCCCCTGCTTTAGTTAATGATTCATCTGTTTTCTGGGATAAGTGGTGATGGATTCCTAATGAAGTACCCCCTACCACTGCTCCCATGGCAGAGAGAATCCCAATATATGTTATTAGAGGAATAAGGGGACCAGCCCTCTTGAACAGATATTCTTGCCCTCGTAATGGGAATGGCAGGGAGGCATTTTCCCATTCTATGGAAAGGTCAGGAAGAACATACCCTAGGGAGCAGAGTCCCTTCCAATGTGGAGGGAGGGTCCAGTATGCCTGGGACCCACAAATCCAATGGACTCCTGTCAAAGGGAGTATTTCTGCCATCAGAGTAATTTCTGCCAGCTAAACTGGCTAGGTTTCTACAGAGACATATCTGCCTTTGACTAGTTGTTTGGTTCTT